AAGCACCTGTGGGGGTTGGTGGGGGGCTCTGGAGGTATGGAGGGGCCTCTGGGGGTAGTGGGGATCTCGGGGTTGGTGGGGACTCTGGAGGTGGTGGGTGGCTTTCGGCGTTGGTGGGTGCTGTAGGCCTTACTGGGGTCTCTGGGGGTTAGTGTGGGTCGTGGAGGGCTCTGTGGGCAGCAGAGGCCCGTGGGGGTGGTGGTAGCTTCGGGCAGGCTGTTTGCCATGAGGAAGGAGCGACTCCACTTCAAGATGGTTGATGGAGGAAGGAAAGTTGTTGCGTCCCCCAGCTCCTTTTCCTGCATGTGAGCACCTTGTTACAGAGCAGCCCTGTCATTCAGCCACCTTTTTCCCAGAATGTTGAAACCTCCCTGGACCTGTGGATATGCAGGGAGGGTGACGTGGTTTAGAGATACAAGTACGTGCTCCGTTTTCAGCCCAGAGCTTGAATTGTGGTTTTGCTAACGCTTTGGTGACATTAGGCAGGTTATTCTGAGTGTGCTTTGACTGCGCAGCTAGCCAAGTCCTTCCTGGGTTGCTGTGGCTACTGCCTCCCACAGACGTGTTCACTCTCACCTGTGGCAAGTGTGGTTTCGGTCTGGGTTGCCACGGCCAGGGCCACAGGAGAAAGCCTGGGCGCCACTTCTGCAGAGTTTGATAACTTGCCCATGGTTGGGCGGGCTGTCGTTGCCTCCCGCTTTCTTCTCTTAGGCCCTGAAGAAATACAAGATCTCTCACATTGCGGTGGGAAAGAACAACAGACTGGCTCAGGTTCCTGCAGTGCGGGGACCGTGGCGTACAGTCCCAGAAGCCAAGGCGATGTTCAGTTGAATGCACTTGCGCTAGCATCCCTCTCCAGTGAAACCACGCTCCCAGTTTCCTTCATTTGTTTCACAAGCAACAGTAATTCTAATGCCTTATTTAGGGGTTATATATAGTATAATGTATAGCTATGTATAGTCTAGCCTATAGCTATTCTATATTAATTTATGGAATGATGGAAGACTTGTGTCTTTGGAAATTCAAGCAGAAAAATTTTGCAGAGTACCTGGTCGTGGCCGCAAAATCCAGAAGTTCTTTTATAGTAGTCGCCTCACCCACACGTGCAGAGACGCCCCCTCGTAGAGCTAAAAGGCCCTTAAGCGGGTAAGTCTCGCACTGTGCTTTGAAGATGGCTGGACTCTTGCTTTGTCAGACTATATGGAGCATATGTATAGCTTGCTGTTTTTCTTTAGCCATCTGGGGTGTTTATTTCTTCTGCTTAGGGAGAGAAGTGCGGAGAGTTGGAGGGTAATAATGAGAACAGTGAAAGTTAAACATGATTTTAAAGTGAATTTGCTTTGTTGTGTTTGGCCATCTGACCACATCTGCCAGGACAGCTGGCTGCTTTGCTGCTTGGACAAGCCTTCTACAATGAGCGTTGTTAAGGGAAGGCAATAATTTCTCATCTATTTATTGTCAGTTTCCTTTAGCATCAGTAAGTGGTTTAAAGGGGCTTCCTTAAGGCTGAAGAATTGTCGGGGGGGGGGGGGTGGGAGGAA